CTGCAATTGTGTAGCATTCAGATTCAACATGGACTGAACAGGTGAATGAAAATCAGACGATCTGCTGAGTTCTTATCACACACCTTCCATATGCCAGGTGATAATGGTGACTTACATGTACAAAACCCCAGTTAATCCTTGTCATAGTAGGTTATGAGAGAGAAGGACTGTTCTGATCCTTCCCATTTTCATGTGAGAACACTGAGGCACAAAGAGTTTAGGAAACTTGCCCCAAAATACCCAGCTCGCAAACTGTCAGCGCTGAGACTAGGGCTCTCTCAGCCTGGTTCTAAAACTTCTGTGCTCTTGATTACTTATACTCACTTTTTCACTGTGATTAGGATGAGGGGATACAACAGTGAGTGGGAAGGGCAGCCGAGGACAGCTGGGCTAAATCCTGGAGGGCCTGAGGATGCCAAGTACAAGGAAAGTACATGCTAGGAGGGGAAGAAGCAGGGCAAAGGCCTGAAGCAGGAACATGTGAGCAACCCTGAGGACCAAACATAAGTCACGATGGCAAAGGCACAGAGGGCAGAGGCTGGTGGGAAGGTCCTGCGGGGCCCTGAGGATGGGGGCAGTCTGTATGAGCGGCTTCATAAATGCAAGGGCGCTGGGTCAGTTTCCACGCTTTGTATATAGCGCCTGGTGACTAGCTCAGGTTGTAGCCCCTCATTTTTCTCATAGTCACTTTTCTGCTATCTCATCCTTCCATGGTCATCGCCCTCTGCAAAAAAAAATTGAGTTCCTCAAAAAATGAATTTTGTTTTTCTGCTTGTGACTAGAAGAACCTTAGCAAAGGGAAGGGCCCAAGTTGATGTCTGATGAATGAATGCACGAATGCAACACTGACATGTTCAGTACATTGGAAACTGAGAGCCTGAACAGCGATGTCCACTCCTACTTCACTGAGCTCTTGCCCTGACCATCGTATACCTCACCACTCTGAACTTCAATTACCTCTCCCGAGGCCACACCACGGCTGAGTGGACATAGCATGACCTCTGGGAGGGGGGGTTAAGCAGACCTGAATGTTTTCACTGCCATTTGCCACAATTCTGTGCTGATCCTGCACAAATTACTTAATTCCTTTCCCAGAAAATAAGGACAATGCCTTGCAGACTGTTAGGAGAAATACGTCATGTCCAGCACCTGAGAGATGAGGCTGTTGGGGAATTGACAGCCATGGGATGGAACGCAGCACAGCACAGAGCCAGGGCTCGGAATCAGGCAGGTCTGGGTTCAGCTCTCTTTCTCCTGTAATTAGTTGCACCTCTTTAAAATAAAAAAAAATTGAAATAGAAGGCTCCATGCCCTGGTATTTAGGCAACTGTTCATCTCAGAAGCCTAGCAAAATGGAGACCCACAGTAACTAATAGATAGTATCAGGACTATCTATTCCTGT